CAGAGGGAAAGTAAAGAAGTAAGACCTACCAGTGACACCCTCCAAACACCCACACAGACAGAAACAACAGAGGGAAAGTAAAAAAGAAAGGCCTACCAGTGACACCCTCCAACCACCCGCTCTTTCATGCTATGACGTTCACGAGACATACAGATGTACAGATGACAAACAAAGCTTCTGTTTCATTTTCACTTTTATTTACAACATTCTGATGCATATTGTCGGAACTCAACACAGTTGCCGAAATCATTTTTTGCTGTTTTGAGAAAACTAAAAAAAAAGCCAACCAGAACCACGCCCCAACAATAACCCCCAAAAAAAAAAATTTAAAAATCACTTACTAGGTCAATGTTTCTGACTCAGTAATTGGACTTTGAATACACGCCGCTATATTGGGGATACAAAAAGTAACGGGCATTTTAACGGTATCAGTATCTAGAAACTCTCCCTAGAAAAATGACAAAGGCAATTGTCTTATGACCATGACAAAAAGGTGGAGTCCACTTAAACCAAACACTGTTCGGAAACAGAGGTTGACCGAAAGAAAATGATTTCACTTTTTTTTCCTTCACTATTTGAGCAACTTCTCTTCATTGAAAACAGTGACGGCTAAACTGAGGAAAATGTGGCAGTCCCGCAGAAGAAGCGGACTCCATTGAGTCGGACATACTCTTCTTTCCCTGGCAACCTGCACGTTTTCCTTCATCATTTCCTTCATCATTTCCTTCATCATACACAAGACTTAACCATCAAAAAGCTCATCAATCTTTTCTTACAACGATAAAACTTCAAGAAGTCACACGATGCTGAAAGACTGGAGAAAACTCCCTATTGCAACAACAGAAGTTTCCATAGTCCAAACTCGACAATTTCTAATTTCACAAGTTTTTTTTAACACTCTCGGCAAAGCCAGCGACCAAAGAAAAGCCTCAAAACAGACACATAAAACAAGCAAACATTTGTTCCCAACACACAAACCTACCAAGTAGAAACACTAACTGTGGTGATTCCGACAACTTTTCCCCTATCCACTGAGAACAAAAAGCACCAAATTAAATTACCCCGTCCGAAAGTAGGTCATGTGACGTTGAGCGCCGTCTGGTGTCTGGCAGACGTGTCCACCCTCATGACCTCCCTCAAGGCCATGGTCGCGTAGGTTGAGCTCGGCAAGGACATCTCCAGCACCACGGCCTTCACCTTGCCTGGCAAAACGGAGACATTGAGAAAACGTCGGAGAAATAATACGTCACTTCGCGACACAAGCTTTGTCTGCCAGAACAACAAACAAGACACATTGACAAAATGTAGGACTTTTACCCAGGGATGGGGAATAATTTAATCCCCAACAATTTTTCAGAAGATTCAGCGACAGCGATTCTGCGACAGCAGCAGGGGGGCAGGGGGGCAGGGGGGCAGGGGGGCAGGGGAGCACGGGGGCAGGGGGGCACGGGGGCAGGGGGGCGCAATCAGCCTATAGCCGGGAACAATTTACATTTTAATTTTAACTTTAAAAAGGTACTCTCTGAGAATGTTTTGAATTTTAAAAAAGAATTACAATACAGTGTTATTTCACAAGGTAACAAACATAATTGATAAAATAAAAAAATACAGAAGCCTACATTCATCTAAATACTTACATTACAATGAATGCTTACATTACAATGAATGCTTCTACTGGTCAGACTAATTCAATCCCCCAAAATATTTCTGAAGATTCTGCGACAGTGCAGGGGTCGGGGGGCGCAGCCTCCCTGAAGCCGGGGAGGAATTTACATTTTTTACTTTAAAAACGTAGATCTAGTCTCTGAGAATGTTTTGAATTTTTAAAAAAGAATTACGATACGGTGTTATTTCACTAGGTAACAAACATAATTGATAAAATTAAAAAATACAGAAGCCTACATTCATCTAGACGTCTAAATACTTACATTACAATGAATGCTTCTACTGGTCAGATCAATGGTATTGTTTGATGGTCAAGCAGTAATTCTTTTCCCTGCATGTTCATGTTCTCATGTTCAAGTAGGAGGAGAAATGGTTGTATGTAACTCTTTCAAGTGACAGCGCAGCAACAGTTTGTCCACACCCACTTTCCCACAGCAGCAAATTGTTTACAGCAAGAAATTGTTTACGTAAATCCACAATGCAACAGTACAATCGTCCGCAATTATTTTTTTTAAATTCGGAATTCCGAAAATTTTCGGAGAAACCCCATCACTGTTTACCTCCTATCCAAGCAGCCGAAATGTGATTCTTTAGACGACTATTTGGCATCTCCTACAATGACCACGTCACAAATAAGGAAGTGTGCAGTAGACGGAAACAACACGACATGACTCACTATTGACACTTGCTGTCTACCGTAAGCGAAAAAAAATAAATGGTAAGGCCATGTAATAGGATCGTGCGGCCTACCCAAGACCATTCTTCAGGGAACTGTGCAGGGGAGGAGAAGGAGAGGAAGGCCAAGGAAGAGGTGGACCGGCAATATTGCGGAGTGGACAGGGAAATCCTTCGCCCAAACTCAGGAGCTCGCAAAAAAACTGTGAAAAGTGGAGGCAGCTGACGAGTCTCTCTGTCATACAGCGCCCCACGATCCTCGTGGATTCTGGGATCAGTGAGTAAGTAACTAACACTGTTGCCCACCCCTTTCAGTTTCATAAAAAGGAAACAGAATTGGAAAAAGAAATCCACGAGAACAACAAATATGTGTGCTTCATTTTGTAAAAGGGACACAACAAAGTGTGTCTTCAAAAGCAGTCTCAAATGACAGTGACAGGACGTGCGCCTTCCATGGAAAAAACGTGTCTTCAGTGCCCTTCACCCTCTCATCCCTTCTGTTAAAATCTGGTGTCTGTAGAAAGTACAGGAAGTAAGTCAGAAAAACATTACGGGGCTCTGTTGTTTCACATTGTAACCTCATCAAGTTGTACATTTTCTGAAAGGAAATTGAATTTGCTACCCATCTGTTGTGGTTTTTGCAAGTTTGAAAGACTTTTGGAAAGAGTTCGGAAAGAGTTTGGAAAGAGTTTGGAAAGAGTTTGCATGATGTTACATGAAGACTAAATTTTTCATCAGGGGAGCTAAAAATTTGGTCCCCCCAAAACATGAAAATGCACAACTTTGTATCATGTAACACCACGTAATGTTCACAACAAATGTAAAGGATTCAAAGATCTGTGAACTGTGAACAGTAGTAGTGAAAGTTATGGAAACTTGAACCAGGTACCGCTCTTCTAATTTTATACCCCCCGGGGAAGTGAGATCATTTATACACAGCTAGATTGGCTGTAGTTCAGTAGGTAGTTATCAGGTAATAACTTAACGAGAACAGCAAACATGTAGAAGTAAAGGCTCAGTACTGAATAGAAACAAAAAGATCTTATCTGAACAGGAAAGTGGCCACCAAAGTCTTTTCCCCCATGATTTCCCCGCTGAAGTAAGAGGAGAAGAAGGAGACACTTCATGGCTTATTGTACTGTCCCCGCGGTTCAAAAAAATTCTGAAATTATGCAAACTGAGCCCAAAAATGTGAAATTTTAAGCGATTCTGTTAATTTTAACAAAGAATGATGAAGGAAAATGACAAGTAATTATGCAAAAAATAATCAAATTTTGCTAAATTATGCAAGGTGCATAAAACCTCTGGGACAGATAGTATGCATTACATCAATACCACATGTGTCATAGTGTACAACAAATAGTAACATAATTGATTATCTGTTAGTAACAAACAAACAAAAGATCATGTTAGAAAAATGTTATTCATCAACAGAAAAAGAAAATTCCCTTACCTTATCTGACGCACCGACAATCCGTGAATAACATTTAAATAATCCATTTCGAATGCCACACATATATTATTCTTTACAACCTATTTACACACAATATACACACACCAATGTCTGCAGGGCATGACATCACACACGCGACTAGCCTCCGCCACCCGGATGTGTTCATTGACGGAGCACTTTTCGTGGACAGCCTGGGCGCGTTGCACATATCTGATGTTGGTGGTGGCTGCATGTTGTCTGAAGTTGGTCATTGGGAAAGGAACTTCACAAGAATTTTCCTTACTTCATTCAGGTGGGAATGGGTACCCGGCCATAGACAGCGAAAGATCTTGTCTGTATGTTAGTGTTTTAAAGCCTATAAATGGCTGCTTACACTGTATGCTTTCCAGGACGTTGAGGTTGTTTCAGAATGCTCTCAGGTCTGCTGGGGTAATAGTATAGATTGTGAAGCGCATAGAGCTTGCTGTTGAGCGGGGATTTGTGCTATACAAATGATATATCTATTATCATTATTCTGCCTGAGGGGGTATCCTGTAGTGTCCTCACAGAGAGCCCACACCTTGATCCCCGATTGCATTGATTTTGCCAGCATGTGCTGTCCCAATCCAAGCCGGCCCTTGAACCTGACCACGGACTCATCAACACTCGCAATTCCACTTGGCTTGAAGACTGCTTCAAATCGGGAATTGAGGGTGTTGATTGATGAGCCGTGGCACTTTCACCAGCAGCTGGTCTGGAGGGTTGGACGCTGGAGCTGTGTTGTCGCTCGGGTGGAGGTACCGCCAAATCTGGAGAAACCTGTGGCGCGACATCACACGACCAAACTCCATCTTGAGGAGGGCTTTCTTTCCTCTCCAGTAGTTGGCCCATCTCGGCAGCTGGAGAACTCCCATGGAGAAGCAGAGCCCTGTACAAAATAGTATTCAAGATGTACAAATATTCAACTGTCTATGAGAGAGAAACTTTGCGTCAAAACGGAATTATCAGCAACAATGCAAATAAATATGAAGAAAATTCCTTCTGACAACGACATCACAGGGAACGGCGTCTATTGTAGCGGCGTCGTTGATTTATGCAGAAAATCCGAGCAAGCAAAATTGTTTTCAAGTATCCAAGCTGGAGGTTGCACCCCTATCAACATCGGTCAGCCCCGCTGGGCACGGGCGAAGCGCACCTCCTAAAATATCCAAATTCTGTCAATAGGGACGTAAAATCAATACCTAATCTTGCAATGTAATATTGAAATTGCTCATCCACTAAAAATAAATAAATAAATAAATAATAAGAAACTTCACCATACCCATGAAAGCTTTCACGGCTGCGGCTGTCACATTTGGCCAAGTTCCCTTTGCTCTCTCTCCCGGGCCGCATACAGGCTTGTTGGGTCGACCAGGTGGTCCGCAAGAATGCCGCCTTCCAAAAAAAAGCTCAAAATAGAACAAGTTGTTCTTCTCTGCCTCGGGTTGAACAGGCCCTCGAGCTCCTAGGAAAAAGTAAAAAATAAAAGTCATGAAAAACTAAAGGAAAGAAAAACACCAATTGCCGCATGTTGCTGGAAAAAACCCACGTGCTCCAAGCCAACATAACAAAAGATAAACACACCACTGTATCTGTAATGTTCGCACCTCCTGTCTGGAACAGCTGTCCAATTCTAATCTGAATCATGTTGAACGAATGACAAAGAAAAAAGTTTCGTGTGTACAAAATAAATATCAAAGACCAAAGAAAATATTACAAGTGCTAATTTGTTCAAATTTAGATCTTTATACCCCACCTCACAAAAATGCGCAATATCTCAAAAACTACTTGAGATATCTCAAAAATCCCCAAAACCACTGCATTCAGCATTGAATCTCCTATAAAGTACAACCCTCAACTCAAAATGGCCAAAATCCAACTTTTGGTACCTCTCTTTAGGAACACACACACACAGTAGGAGTGGTATGTAGAGGAACTAACCTTCCAAATCTTTTCTTTAGGAACACACACACACAGTAGGAGTGGTATGTAGAGGAACTAACCTTCCAAATCTTTTCTTTAGGAACACACACACACAGTAGGAGTGGTATGTAGAGGAACTAACCTTCCAAATCTTTTCTTCAGGAACACACACACATAGTAGGAGTGGTATGTAGAGGAACTAACCTTCCAAATCCTTGGCGGTCCCAGGAAACAGGTTCTCACTGGTCCACCGGTCGTGAAAAAACAGGCGGTCCTGGTTTTCAGCTGCTGTTTCGTCTCCATCTCCATCGTCCTCTTCCTCCAAACCCAGGACTTGAGCCTAAACGGGCTCTATTCCAATTTCATGGACCATGCAGCCGATGAAAGGCCGCCTCTTGAGTTATGACATTCTTGCCGACGGGGTTCCCGGTACGAAAGGTATAATATCCGTGGACGAGTCTCCCTGGAACAACGGGTTGTTACCCTATCCGTACGCCCTGGGGTCATTTTGTACCCCCGCGGTTGTATTCTTCACAATTTAGAATACCTCAAGTAGTACGAAGATCTCTTTGAAACTTTCAGTATTTCTCAAAAAATCATTTTGACAGATTCCTATACAAAGCGTACGGATCGGATTAATTAGTAAATTTTCTCTTTGGCACAGAGTTCCCCGCGTCGTATGGATACGATAGTAAAACACGATGTATACGGATAGAGTTCAAGTTCAAGTGCACAAGCATCCGTGAGTACAAGACCCTTCACCGCCGCACGCACAAGTCCAGAGCCCATCCCTGAATGGGAGGAAAGACACATTTCAATCATCACAACAATCCACCGTCAAGATTCCTCACTCACACATACCGGTGTCGGACGCAGGCAGCTCCGTCTTCTTCACGCGGTCAAGGTCACTGAGGGTGAGCGGGGTGGTGTAGTCGTCGTAAAGTCTGTGCGTCCACGAGACGTCCGTCGGGTACACCACCAGGTGGCGGTAGGCTCCGGGCAGCGAGTAGTCTCTGGGACAGACAGGAAGTTATCCCATTGTTTTTTTGTTTTTTAAAAAACAAAAATAAAGCACAGAGATTCCATAATTTTAGGAATAGTTTTACGGCACTTGCAACACAATAAGGTCACATAAGTGCCAAGGAGTAGAGGTGTTACAAGGAAGTAACAAACACAAAAAAAGGAGGAAAGATCAGGACGAAAGATGTCTGATAGGAAAGAAGGAGCGAACCACACCAGAGCACCTGCCAACCACCCACCCGCAGAGATCGCTGCAGTAACGGTCATTTAGTGGTCATTTAAAAGAAAGACGCTAAGACAAAAATGAGAAACAAACAAGAAATGACCCAATTGTTTGTTTGTTTGTTTGTTTCCCAAGAGAAGTACATCAATCTGAGTAACAACAGTCCCATAGTTCAGCGCAAGAAAAAAACAAGACAGACAAAACAAGAAAACAAAATAAAACAGGAATTGTCGGATTGTTTATATATTCAGGGTTTTTTAAACTTTAGTTTAGTTTTAGTAAGAGTTTTACGGCACTTGCAACACAATAAGGTCATATAAGTGTCGAAGATTAGAGGTGTTACAAGAGAGTAACAAACATAAAAAAGAAGGAGGCGAGAGGGTTTTTTTGTTGTTTGTTTTTTTATTTTTGCCTAAGAGAATTAAGCACATAGATGGATGAAATGATAGTTATTTTAATGCACGACAAAAGCAAAAAAAGATAGACATAAACAAGGAACGAAGACGAATTTATCTGATCATTAAAAAAAATAATTGGTTAGAGTAATAACGTGTGACACATTGACACAATAACGTGTGACACATTGACACAATAACGTGTGACACATTGACACAATAACGTGTGACACATTGACACAATAACGGTCATTTAGTGCAGAGAAGAAAAAATACAAGCTTATAAAAACACCAGAGGGAAAGTCAAAAAGTAGAACCTAACAGTAGCACCCTCTAACCACCCATAATCTGCGCAATCAATTGCAGGAAACAAGATATGGAAAAGAGAATAACTGAACAAATAAGTGAAATAAAATGTTAAAAAATCCTAACTGGAATGAGATACAGAATAGATTTTAAAAATGGACAAGAAAGAGATGCAACCTGTTGCAATACTCACTTCTGAGGTCGTTCCATTTTGTCAATGTCAAGGCCGTCTTCCTGCAGCATCAGTCGATACCAGTCACGCACTGGTGGGCAGGGGAGAGAAGAAAGCTTCCATTACCACCAACGTCTGATCTACACACAACAACACACACACACAACCACACAACAACACACACACACAACCACACACGCTATTCCACACATTGACACACAACCACAAACAAACGATATTCTTATGCACAGTAGAATTGTAAATGGGCTGATTTATCAATGTCATGCTCATACTGTGCCGGAACAACATAGTGGGAACTGCTGCTTTTTCTTTCCTCATCCTTACTATCGTCATTTTTGCTCTTCTTCTTTTGTATGTTTGTCACTCTCTCGTAACCCGCGATTTCTGGGGTGCCTTGATAGTCGAAGTAGACTTTGTGCTGATGAGGTTAAAAAGGTGAGCAGAGCAAGCCTGATTCCCTGTTGGGACTTCTCTGTTTAAAAATCCACTAATTGGTGCTCATATGACCTAATGCAGTTGCGAGCACCGTAAAACCTCAACTAAAACAAATTACTACTATCGTTACGACTATCCCTATCCTCGGTACCGTGGTTATCGGGGTAGACGATGCTGTGACCTGGCAGCGGCAGAACCACGTCCCTCAGGCTGTACTGGGCCAGGTTTTCCTCCGTCAACACCACCGGGCTCGGCTTCTCTGTGGGGGGACACGAGGGAAAGGTTTTACGTCGCCATTAAACAAATATCAGAAAAATACAAAAGCTAGAAAAATTAGTCTGTTCTGTCCTTAACTCTTTATGTCTGTGGGGGGTAAACCCACTACACCAGGACCTTCTTTGGTACTAAATCTAAAAACGACAAAAACATCACTAACTAGGTTATTAAATCATAAAATGTGAACCTATTTCGATAGTTCTTCATCTAATGAAGGAAATCCCAATAAAAGAGACCTGTTTGCTGCAACTGCCAAAAAAGTAATTCGATGTCAAAGTCGTGGTAAAGGAATGTGCCCGAGCCGCTGTCACGACTCACCGACACAGAGAGGTTCCGACCGCGAGCCGCTGGGAGTGACTTGCCGGAGATAAAGAGTTAAAAAACATTCTCCATGAAAATGAGAAACACCTTTAACATATTCATGACTAGCAGTAAAGAAATTCTAAAACAAGTAAAAAAAAAATGGGAAGCTATAATAAATCAAAAGTTCTTGCCTGAACAGATCCTTATTTCACCAAAAATCTCTCCCTATCTCTCTGTGGTGGCTACATAAAATACCCGATCACGACCCTCCTTCTCTCTTAGTTGTTCGCCCTTTGACACACACCAACCTTTTTGTTCTTGATCAGTCGTAGCCTCAGAACTATTTTGTCCAAAGTGCACTGAATACTAATTTTATGTTTTCAAAAAATCAGTTTAGTCAATTTTATTTGATAAAAATACCTTACTCAGTCTTTATTTGTTCAAGTAAATACATTTTACAGGAACAAAAACCCCACCTCTATTTCTATCGTATATATGTATACGAAATTCTAATGCTATTTTAACCGCTGAAACCAAGTAAACGTACCTGTTTCAATCAAAAATATCTTCACTTCTGCTCAAGATAGACGCATATTTTTTTTCATCAGAAGCTAGATAAATGAACCAGCTTTACAACGATACCAATAACTCCACATGTACAAAAATAGACGAGCGCCTGATTCCACCGCGTCGTGACACATTTCCCCTCCAGCCCACACCAACCTCCTTGTTCTCCCCCACCGTCCGCGCCCGCGCTGGGCATGACCAGATCTCCCTTGACCGGCGCCCGGCCCAGCTCCCTCAGTCTCCGAGACACCATGCTGTTCCAGACGTACGCCTGGTAGCTGTGTACGTACAGCAGACGCGTGTTGCGCGAGATCTGGGCGGGAAATTCAACACACAACATGTCGTATTAGTGGTACGAAACAGCTGTGAAATACAATTCTGAAATTCAAGAGGTAACAAGTTGTACCAGAGGTACCAAACGGCTATTTTTAGTTTTAGTAAGGTTTTACCGTCCTCACAACTGCATAAGGTCATAAGAGCGTCAAGGGGTGGTGTAGTTTTAGTAAAGTTTTACGGTGCTCGCAACTGCACACGGTCATATGAACGCCATGGGGTGGATGTCAACAGAGAAGTCCAAATGGGGAATCAGGCTTACTCTGCTCACCCCTCTAGCCTCAACGGTACAAAGTATAAATTTTCACTTTCAAGGCACCCCGGAAATAGCAGTTCACAAGAGAGTGACAAACATACAAAAGAAGTAGAGGAAAATGATGATAGTAAGGATAAGGAAAGAAAAAGCAGCAGTTTCAAATGGGTGTGGAAACGATCCTCAAATTTTTATATCAAGTGGAAAAGTGCAAATCATATTGTCTAATAAATTCTCACGTCAAGACTATTTCTTCCGGAAAATAAGCAATCTTTGGTAAAAGTCCAAATGGAAAGGAACTGCCAAACTGTGACAACAACTTCACATGCCCAAAAATTGAGATTTCCACCACGTCAAGACAAAAATGTTAGTTTGAAACGTTGGAACTTCATGTCTCAAACTTAAAGAAGGACATACAATTTTCTCTGTTCATTATTACATGTGCCCTGCCCTTTTTTAATCCCTTTAAAATGTTTTGAAGAAGAATGAGCAGGAAAAAGCAGGAGAGGAAGAACAGTATCCAAAGAAATAATTATAATTATAAGAAGATAACAATAAAGATAATAATAAATAATAGTAATAGTTTAGCAAGAGTTTTACGGCGCTCGCAGCTGCATAAGGTCATATGAACGCGCAATAATAGTAATAGTAATAATAATAATAATACAAAAATTTTTAATAAATGATATATCTTAATGATAACAAGAATAATAATAAATAATAGTAACAGTAATAGTAATAATAGTAATGATAATAATAACAATACTAAAAAAAATAATAATAACAACAACACCAGCAACAGTGAGCGTAGACCACCCACCTTCTCCAAAGCGTTGAGCGGAGGCAGTTTGTTCTTGAGACCCTGCAGCAGGTTCCTCTCAAGGCCGCAGTAAGGGGGCGTGGCATTCAGCGTCTGCTCAGGGTCGCGAGACTCCGCCCACACCGTCTGGAAGCTGTCCTTGGACGAGTGATCTATGGGGATGGGAGGAGGGGATGGCAGGAGGGGATGGGAGGAGGGGATGGGAGGAGGGGATGGGAGGGTTTCTTTTACGTTTTTGTTGACGTTTCACGTTCGCTTCAGCAGTTTACATCATTTCACAAAAACAAAAACAACAATAATAATGATAATAATAACAATAATAATAATAATAACAACAATAATAATAATAATAATAATAAAAATAACAATAATAATAATAAAAACAACAATAATAATAATAATAATAAAAATAACAATAATAATAATAAAAACAACAATAATAATAATAATAATAAAAATAACAATAATAATAATAAAAACAACAATAATAATAATAATAATAAAAATAACAATAATAATAATAAAAACAACAATAATAATAATAATAATAATAAAAATAACAATAATAATAATAAAAACAACAATAATAATAATAATAATAATAATAATAATAATAATAATACGGCAGTTTGGGGGGTGAAGGTCAGGGGGTAGGAGTTGAAATATGCCAGAAAAAAAACAACCCCCCTCCCCAAATCCAAATATAAAGATGAAGTTTCTTTGCTTACTTTGAGAATTTTGTATATATTGAAAAGGCAATTTCTACACTTTCGATTTTCAAGTTAAGCTACGTCTGCAATGAAATAGATCTTTCAACACAGTACCATGCTGATTAACTCAAGTCACAAGCGTTGAAGACTGGCGTTTTTGGGGGTATTTCAATAAATCACCACAACTCTCAGAATTACCCTATTGTAATTATTTTTTGACACAGTAAAGTAACATTTAAGCTTAATCTAATACAAAAAACTAAAGTTGTCTAAGTCTAATACTTTAATTTATATGATTTTTTAAAAATTGGCATGAATTTGATTTTCCGAAAAATTTCCAGAGACGTGACAAGTAGAATGAAATTCACTACAACAACAAAAATAAAAGTTCAAAGTGTTCTGGTTTGATTTGTATACATGTGCAAGTGTTTGGTGAAAATATAAAAGCTGGTCTGTGCGTTGATTCAGACCCATACACTGAATTACATGAGACAGATGTACGGCACGACGTTGTGATTTCGTTGCGCGAAAAACAACACCGGTACTAGTGCTAGATCTAGCCCTAGAACTACGACTCGGGCCGTGTTCGGGTACATATCCAGGATCCTAACTATTAGACACATCATTTTCTGAGACACTAGAACTAGATATCTAGTAAAACGTACAGAAATATAAAAAACGGCGAAATTATGAGATTCTTGTTCATGCGACTTCTTCGGCCGTTACTACGACGCGACTGTCGGATTAATATCAGCTGTATAGAAAAAAACAAAGTGCGAGTTCCGGTTTGTTCAACCCCAGTTGGGGTCACTGTCCTTCACCTTCAATAACTTAAAAACTACCGGCCCCAGAGATACGAAACGAAGTCTAAGTAGCTCAGGCTTGGCCAAACAAGGGTACGAGGCGGGTCTCGCGATCCGTGCGTGATTTGTAGAGCGAAAAAAAAATTCCAAAGTTGGTCACGCAGGGCTTGTGAGACCCGTCGCGAGCGTCGCGGCGGGGGTCACGCAACTGTTGTGTGAACCGTCTGAAGTGAGTTAAAATACCCCCCCCCCCCCCCCCAAAAAAAAAAGCATTCCTCACTTCCCCCCAAACCTCCTCAATTCACAAACTACCCTACTGGGATTCAAACCCATCTCATCTGACCTGATGACCGGAGAAGTGCACCCACCAACCACCCGCCAACTCACCATTCCTCGGCATCAGGATGAGGTCCACGGCCTTGTCCCAGTCTGCGGACAGAAGTGCCCTGAAAGACGCACACAACCACAAGACATTGCTATAAGAGAAAACGACAAGACATTGCTATAAGAGAAAACCACAAGACATTGCTATAAGAGAAAACCACAAGACATTGCTATAAGAGAAAACCACAAGACATTGCTATAAGAGAAAACCACAAGACATTGCTATAAGAGAAAACCACAAGACATTGCTATAAGAGAAAACCACAAGACATTGCTATAAGAGAAAACCACAAGACATTGCTATAAGAGAAAACCACAAGACATTGCTATAAGAGAAAACCACAAGACATTGCTATAAGAGAAAACCACAAGACATTGCTATAAGAGAAAACCACAAGACATTGCTATAAGAGAAAACCACAAGACATTGCTATAAGAGAAAACCACAAGACATTGCTATAAGAGAAAACCACAAGACATTGCTATAAGAGAAAACCACAAGACATTGCTATAAGAGAAAACCACAAGACATTGCTATAAGAGAAAACCACAAGACATTGCTATAAGAGAAAACCACAAGACATTGCTATAAGAGAAAACCACAAGACATTGCTATAAGAGAAAACGACTTTGACTTTGATCTTTTTAAACCTAACAAAACCAGAGCAAATGACAGATTTCAGTCTCAAAGAAAAGAAAACGCAAATAAAAGACACACAACCATTTTTTTTTTAAATATCAAAAAACCGTAACCAAACAACACACACATCTCCACCCCCCTCCCCCTCCAAAAAAGAAATACACACAACCCTCCCAACTCAATTCTCTTCAGCTAAAAGGAAAAGAAAACCCATTAGCTTCAGTTTCAGTACTAAAAGAAATCTCCAAAAGAAGAAAGTAAAGTAAAGTTGTTCCCTCATCTGATATGGACATTGGGGACTGCCTTGTTAGTGAGACAACTTCCTGGACCTTCGGCATATTGTGGTAGGGTGGCCAGTTCCTTTCCACGCCGCCTTTACTTCCCCAACTCGAAGTCAGGTACGCATTACAGCTGGGTGGGCAGGAGAGGGCGAAAAAAATATGTGTCCGAACGGAGACGGGGGTGCAAAAGAAGAAAACAGTGTACATATCTGAACCATTACCTTCCCACGTGGTGAGTTGGAACGGACGTGGTGCCAAATCTCTGCATGCCGAAGTAGTTGACAAACCCCTCCGACTCCAGGCATTTTAAGGCTTTTTCCACCACCTCTGGGTCGCCTTGGACGTTTCTGAAACAATGCACACACAATATGTGTCAAGACGAGGTGGAATCAGGCGCTCGTTCTTTTTTGGGCATATGGGGTTATTGGTATCATCTTAAAGCCTATTCATTTGCCTTCCTTTTAGTGAAAAAAAGATCCATCTATGTTGGAACAAAAGTCGAAATATTTGCCATTGAAGGAGGTCAGGGTCGTCTGGTTTCAGAAGCAAAATAAGTGAGAAAATGGCCGCCAAAGTTTGGTAACTTACCTAGCCTGTGAGTCCATGAAAACTGAAAATTTACATTTTTGTGTGCCTTTAATCAATGTTTTACAGTAAAATCCTCACAGAATTGTGATTTTAAATAGACATAAGAGGCGTTGAGCCAAAAAACAAAAATTATTTTAAAATTTGTCAAACTGTAACTGGCGTAAAAATGCCAAATATTTTGATTTCATTATTTTGACGAGCGCCTAATTTCACACACATTACAGGACAGCTACCTCAGCACTTAGTGACACACACACACACACACACAATACAGGACAACTACCTGAGCACTATAGTGAAGTGGTTGCCATTGAGCTGTCCCAGTTTTAGAGGTTCCTTGACATATCTGTGGGCGGGACAGGTGGGGATTAGAGGGTGGGGTGGGGAGTGGGAGGAGAGGAGATGGCTTTTAGTTTTACTAAGAGTTTTACAGTACTAGCGACACAATAAGGTCATATTATAAGTGCTGAAGAATAGATGTATTACAAAAGAGTAACATACACAAAAAAGAAAGAGAGATGAGGACGATAGATGTTTGATAGGAAAGAAGGAGCAAATCACACCAGAGCACCCGCCAACCACCCACGAACAGGTGATGTCAGTTTTGAAAAAAGAGAAGCCCATCAACAATCGTCTTTAAGTACAGGGAAAAAGTAAAAAAGGCAGACAGAAACTACAAAGGAGAAAAAAGTAGGATCTTTCATTTTGGTTAAAAGAAGCATGTCTCCACTATAAAAATCATTATGTGTATGTGAAGAGGGAAGAGTGAGGAATTTGTTCACACAAAGATAGACAGTCAGAAACAACCGAGGAAAAAAAAAGAAATACGACTTACTTTCTGTGGCGACCTCCAAATAGACGTGAAAAGACAGACACAGTGTTAGTTCAGTTTGAGCAAACAGAAGCATATTAGAACAACGGTAATTTTGAGCAGAGAAAAAAGTAAGACAGACGGACTGTTGTTATCTCTTTTTACCACCCCCAATGTCATAATTTTCTGTCTTTATTTTATCTCATTTAGTGCACCCTATGTCTTCAGTTTTTGTCTCAATTTTTACAACTTTTGGTACACAAAGGCAAATGAAGCAGTGGTAGGCCAAGAGCAACATACTTAGGGAACCTAAACAAATGGGTACCAGGGAAAGATCAGGGAAACGAGCTTTTTCAAGAGCATCCGGGCAAAGGAATGAATGGAGAACCATGATCGCCGATGTCTGTCACATATCTGGCACTGGATGAGTACACCCCATGGTTTTACCTCTATTTGTGCCCCATGTTATTTCAACTGAAACAAGAATTGCTAAACTCAGAGCTTTGCTATAAGTCAAGTGGTCCAAGGCGTCTCAAGCGACTCACCTGCAGTTTCCCACACCAAAGTTCCACAGCACCTTGTTCAAGGTCAGAAGCTTCTTCGGGTGAATTCTGAGTAAACAAAGCAAGAAAAGGCGTGAGAAAATGAATAGGACAAAACATAACATCACACATCCAGATTTTCTTTCAGCCAAAAAGAAGCATATCTACACAATTATGAAAATAATAGCTATTGAGTGCTTAGAAATAGCAAGGCAGATAGACAGACAGAAGCAAAACAGGGAAAGAACAGTAGGATCTGCCAGTGGCACCCTTCAACCACCCACAGTTAAGAATTTAAAATGTCCAACATTGTACATGAAAGACAACGATCTAGTATCTAAAAAACATGTGGTATAATACGGGTTTGATGCCTGTTCCAAAACTGTAAGCTTATTTAAAAGCGCAACCTCTGGACTTAACATCACTCTCAGACTGAACCAAGCCAAATAGAGGAGGAGAATCTTGAAAACTCCTGTATTTAGCTTTAGTAAGAGTTTTACGGCACGAGCAACACAATAAGGTCATATATAAATGCCAAAGATTAGAGGTGTTACAAGAGAGTAACAAACATAAAAAAGAAGGAGAAGAGATAAAGACAATAGATGTTGGATAGGAAAGAAGGAGCAAACCACACCAGAGCACCCGCCAACCACCCAAAAACCCACGCCACATTCAAAAACACACCAGGGGCACAGCAGCCTACATGCTAAATTTTAAATGTCCTAAAATTTAATTGTATCGATGGGGGTGTAAAACATTCAGTCAATGACAGCCAATCACAGGCTGCGCTCACTCACTTGAGGGCCGTCACTTCCTGGGAAGTCTTCGCTCGCTTGTCCTTGGTGCCCGCGTACTGGAACAGATTCTCCTTGACTCTGTGGGGGGGAGGGGGGGACGTTTTTGTTTTAGTTTTAGTAGAGGTTTAACTGCGCTAAGCCTAACAACTGCATACGGTCATATGAGCGCCGAGGGGTGGATGTCAACAGAGAAGTCCTTACAGGGAATCAGACTTACTCTGCTCACCTCTCTAGCTTCAACAGCACAAAGTCTGCTTCGACTAACAAGGCACCCCAGAAATAGCAGGTCACAAGAGAGTGACAAACATACAAAAGAAGTAGAGAAAAAAATGATGATAGTAAGGATAAGGAAAGAAAAAGCAGCAGTTCCCTGTTGTAGTTCAGGCACAGTTATAAGCATGACATTGATGAATCAGCCCATTTACAATTCTACTGTGCATAAAACATGTTAATATCCCCCCCTTTGGGAATGGCCTAAAGACACTACTAAAAAAACCCCCAACAAAAAACTGACAGGGCAATACTGACCCTGGCATTAAGGCCAAACTTGAGTTTAGTTTTAGTAAAAGTTTTACGGCACTTGCAACACAATTACATCATGTAAGTGCCAAAGATTAAAGGCGTCACAAGAGAGTAAAAGAAGGAGGAGAGACAAGGACGATAGGAGTAACCCACACCTAAGCGCCTGCCAGCCACCCATAAGCCCAAACTAACCAGGACACGCCCGACCCACCTGAGGTTTTTGGCCATGAGTCCGATGGCGTCCATGGTGTCCTTGTTCTCCTTGTACAGCACAAACCTGACGTAGCGACACGCCTTTTTGGAGGCTGGCCAGTCGTCTCTGCCTCCGTCACGCCCCTTTCCTTCATCACACGGGGACACACAGAGTAAGTCGTGAAGGGTTTTAGCTTTGGTAACAGTTTTACTGCACTTGCAACACAAACAGATCATATTTTAGTTTAGTTTTTGTAGAGGTTTTACGGCGCTCGCAACTGCATAAGGTCTTATGAGCGTCAAAAGATTAGAGGTGTTACAAGAGAGTAACAAACATAAAAAAGAAGAAGGGGAGATAAGGATGATAGATGTTTGATAGGAAAGAAGAAGCAAACCACACCAGAGCACCCGCCAATCACCCACAGGTCATATTTATCTGATATATATAGGTGTCAAAGATTAGAGGTGCTACTAGTAAAAAATATAAAAAGAAAGGAAGGAGGAGAGATAAGGAGGATAAATGTCTGACAGAAAAAACCACCCCAGACCACCCGCCAACTATCCACACATAAAAGAAAAAGTAATCAGACAACGCATACTGAATTTACTGAAAACGAAATTCCATCACAGAACCATGGCAGAGCCCAGTAAGATGTTGTTATCTATCCACCAAGCCCAGAAAGATATGAAAACAAATCTAACAAAAACCAAAAACAAACAACCCCCCCTCCAGAAAACAAATCAAAGAAAACCCCAAAACAAACCAACAACCCACCCAAAGAAAAGCCTAGATAAGATCCCAGCTGTACCTTTCTTCCAGAACGCCTGGATAAACTTGCCGTCGTCCTCCTCTATGGTCTTTGTCTCCAGCTGAGGGAACGTTACCTTCACCGCCAGGTGGACCTTGGTGCGCTGTTCCTTGTCTGCCGGGGCCTGGGGGATGGGAGACGTACTCAGATCGTACATGTTTTATAGAGGTCTGGGGGATGGGAGACGTACTCAGATCATACATGTTTTATAGAGGTCTGGGGGATGGGAGACGTACTCAGATCGTACATGTTTTATAGAGGTCTGGGGGATGAGAGACGTACTCAGATCGTACATGTTTTATAGAGGTCTGGGGGATGGGAGACGTACTCAGATCATACATGTTTTATTGAGGCCTGGGGGATGAGAGACGTACTCAGATCATACATGTTTTATAGAGGTCTGGGGGATGGGAGACGTACTCAGATCATACATGTTTTATAGAGGTCTGGGGGATGGGAGATGTACTCAGATCGTACATGTTTTATAGAGGTCTGGGGGATGGGAGACGTACTCAGATCATACATGTTTTATAGAGGTCTGGGGGATGGGAGATGTACTCAGATCGTACATGTTTTATAGAGGTCTGGGGGATGGGAGACGTACTCAGATCATACATGTTTTATAGAGGTCTGGGGGATGGGAGACGTACTCAGATCGTACATGTTTTATAGAGGCTTGGGGGATGGGAGGTGTACTCAGATCATACATGTTTTATAGGGGTCTGGGGGATGAGAGACGTACTCAGATCATAACATGTTTTATTGAGGCCCGTGGGATGAGAGACGTACTCAGATCATAACATGTTTTATTGAGCCCTGTGGGATGAGAGACGTACTCAGATCATAACATGTTTTATTGAGGCCTTTGGGAAGATTTATGTGTTAGTAAGTGTTTAGTTTTAGTTTTAGTAGAGGTTTTACGGTGCCCGCAATTGCATGTATGAGCGCCAAGTAGGAGTTTTACGGCACTTGCAACACAATAAGGTCATATAAGTGCCGAAGATTAGAGGTGTTACCAGAGAGTAACAAACACCAAAAAGAAGGAGGGGAGATAAGGACGACAGATGTTTGATAGAAAAGAAGCCAACTACACCAGAGCACCCGCCAACCACCCACGGGAACATTTAGTTTACAATAGCGTATATCATAGTATACAAATATAAATACTAATACATGTACACAATACAGAGGTGGCAGCTGGCTACTAAAACAGATAGTGATGGATATGTGAACTTTGGCACTTGTACTTTACAGATCATATGATCTTATTGATCTTGTGAGAAGACTTTTTAAAAATATATATATATAGTGCAAAATGCAGACAATTTCAGAAACCTGGATTTGTAGATTAACTGGAAAATTGGCACTTCTGATGCAAAACCTAAATGGTCATATCAGCGCTACCGTGAGACAAATATCACAATACCGACTGATACATAAACCTGACATCGCCGGTCACCACAGTACAGTGGCCTATCTTTCTAGCTGGGTTAACACATTATTTCAATTTATACTTTATCAGAAATCCGAAATTTCCAGATTTATCCTGAAAATCGAAATGCAGAGACTTGATGATGACACACACAAAAGACCAAACCCCCACCACCAAACCAACAAAAAACTCAACAAACAGACACACACCCCTTACCGGAATGTTGACCGTTGCCTTTCTGTCGTCCGAGGCGACCAGCTGCTCCAACTTGGTCCAGTCTTCAGCGGAGATCACGTCAGAGCCGGGCGTCTTCTTCTGTCCCACACACAGACGGTCAGGAACAGATTTTGTGAGGGGAAGAAAGTGTCAAGTTGTTTGTTGAAGGTACGGCCACTACACCCCCCCCCCCCCCCCCACATGTTTCTTTATCATTTATGTCCAATTTAAATGAAAGAACACAACACAACGCCCCCCCTATGATAAGACATGCTAACCAACACAACTTTTTTTAAAAACTTGACAAATCGATAGTAAGTTATCCATCTCATCATATGTTCAGTCTAAGACAGATCTTTTCGACCTGAAATAGTCCTAAAACGTTAAAAACGTTAGTAGAATCTAAATAAAGCCATTCATTGGGTTGCTTAGTGATGACACAAGAATTATGCGTTTCCTGTAAAATTTACTCCACTGGGGTAAGTCGGTCTACCACAAGGGCGAGGTTAATTTTTCTGTAACACATGCATACCAAGACATTTCAATTCTAGACAAAAACAAAAAAAACCCAACCCAGGTTATTATTTAAAACTCTGAGATTTTACTAAATTTAAAAATAATACTTCTTGGAAAGTCAACTGACAGGGACAACCCAAAGTGTTTTCTAAACCACCAATAACAGTTGTAGCAGAAGTCACTCACCTGCTCCGAGGTTTCTGCATCGTCATCGTCTACCGGAGGGCTCATGTCTGTCAGGTGAATGATTTGTCCATCTTGGTCGATTTCGTTGACAATAAAATCTGAATACCTGAGGAAATATGCAGTCGGCATAAACTTTAAAACTTTGGTATTTGTAGGAGAAAATTGTACAAAACAAACTTACAGTCATTTCCCAAAGTAGATCTACTGTCAGAGTCATTGAAAATCTGTTGAGCAACAGTGGTTGACAAAATGAAATGAGAACAAAAAAAGCCAAGTATTTGAGGACAGGGGTATTGTATTAGGCAAAGGTTGAGATAGTTTTTTTAACATAGACCTACATTTTCTCTTTTCTACTTCCAAATGTTCTGAAAAATGAAATACATGGAATTATAACCATTATTTTATAATCATACATTTATGCTAAAAAGACAGAGGAAACCTGAAACTATCGAGGAAATAAAGCCGGATGTTTTATTTACCACATATTTTTAAAAAAGAATCTCATTCCACTGCCCTGAAATTACTGTAAAATGGAAGCAAAAAGAAAAAAACCTCTGGTCTTAGCTCATACCGTTGTTTGATAATGGCAGAGAATCCGGAGTGGTCGCTCATGTATTCCGTGATGCCAGCCTCTGTTTCAGTGAGCGGGCCGCTGTATTGTTGCTGAGGCTGAGAGTTCCGATCTTTACCACCGGAGGTCTTACTGTCAGGTTTTTCCAACTTCTCCTTCGTCTTATCAGTTGACTCAACCTCAAGTTTCTCATCCGTCGATACTGAATTCTCGGCAGTTTCATCAACTTTGACGGGAATGGGCCCGCTATCATGTGGTGTTACACCGTCAACGGTTTTCTGTTCCCCAGTTTCGCTGCTTTTTTCCTCATTCTTTCTCTTTTTCCTGGCCGGTTCATCACCAGCACTTTCATTTTCATCTGTCTCTTTCCTCGGAAGTATTTCTGACGATGGAACACCATTGTTGGCAGCTTTGTCTTCTAGATCTACTCCTGTACAGTCGTCACCAATGTTATCATCATCAGTCTTTGTCTTCTTCGTTGGCGGTTCATCATCATCTTTGCCAGCACCCATCATAACTGATTCTGTCTCTTTACAAGTCGCCATATCTGAAACCAGAGGAAACAATCATGCATAGCAGCAAGAAATATATATACATAGACATAGCAGCAAGAAATATATATACAGACTCTAATATTATAATTTTAAATATACATTTAGTCGAACCTGCTCAAACTTATAACTCTAGATATCTAGATCTAACAGCCACATGTCCCAGACAACCACGTGCCCAAATGACCACTTTCTTCCAACCTGAGGCAGGGTTTCTTTTTTTTACTTTTTTCAACATTATAATGACACTGCCCAGGACGTCCACCTTTCTAAGACAACTCGTCTAGATCTAGACTAGATACTAGATTCTCGATCAAGCTACTTCTAAATAGAAGGCTATCTCAATCTGTATAATCTAGATTCTAGATCTAGACCTAGGGACAAAAGTGAAACATGCCAGAGCCTATGAAAAACGAATTATCAGAATAAAACGCGGGAATCTTAAATCGCCCTAGATTCTAATTCTACACATCCAGCCATTCCCATGGGTTTAAAAAAAAATAAAACAATAACAAACTAGAATGTAGAACTAGATCTATACATGAGAACTATTTGCAATAGATTGTAGGTCTATTTCGAAGTAACAAACTTTGCAGACAACAGATATTCTTACCGCTAAAACGACAGACAGCTAAAATCTAGATCAAGATCTAGTCTAGAGACTAGCCTAGCAGCCAGCTGCAAATGAAAACAACACGCTTCACAAAATCGAAAGTAGCTCTACGTCCGAACTCTTCTGTTTTAGAAGGAGACTTATTGTCATAGCTGTTTCCAGAGATATATATAGAATAATAGCATAGATTTACACTACTAGTTTAAAAAGGAGATAACTCTATGAATAATAGAGAGATTGTTTACACCAGTACATGCCAAGCGAGAAAATTAATTGTATTCTCTCTGATGATAGGCAAGTATGTTCATTTTAAACGCATCGTCAGCTCAGTAGGTTGTAAAAGGATTATTATTTTGTCAGGGTATTGGGTAGGCCTATATGGAAGAGCAAACGCAAGAGATGAAATGCCCTCTCCCCCCAAAACAACAACAACAACAACAACAACAACAACAACAACAACCAATAAACCTAACATAAATGAACGAATGAATGAATGAATGAATGAAGGAGTGAAGCAATGAATGAATACAACTAATCCTAGAAAATGAAGCTATGAAGAAGAATATGTTTTCTCAACTACAATTATAAAGGATGCCCCTCCAATCTTGCAAAATTTGTAGGCCTACCCACAATTTAAGGGCTTGAACATCTAGCTCTCACTGGTAAAACTGAAGGCTAGCGAGGTAGAGGTAAACCCATGACAACTTACTTGGAACGCATCAACAGATGGGAGACTAGGAAAGTATCAGGATAACCTGATACTGCTCTTTTTTAGAGCACCAGAGTATGGTGAACCATGATCACTGAAGTCTGTCGCCGATGCACTTTTCCCTTTCGTCAACCCGCAGCCACCTCCCGAATCGTCAGCCACCCCCAACCTTTGACACGGGTCAAACTTCCATCTATTCTATAGTTACCGGAACATGTATAGAGGTGAAGTGATGTGCCG